AATTGTTAAAATATGTTTTGGATGGACTTGCAGGTCATGTAAGGTTTTTCAAAAAAATATGTTTTTGGGATGGACATTTATAAGTGTTTTAAAAATGGCAGTATACATTAAAAATTATTCTATTTTCAAAAGGGCTAGCATATCCATGATATACTTGAAACGGAATTGTACCTTAAAGACTTTTTTAAAACTTTTTTGATGTCTAATATTAGTAATACTAGGTTTGATGTAAGGTTTTTCATAAAGAATATGTTTTTATGATAAAATCATATAATGTGTGGAATGTTTTAGAAATGACATTATACTTATACAAGGTGTCTATTCATAGGTTTACCTACTTTGATGCAAGGTCCTTTTTGAAGATCTAATTATGAAGGATAGATTTGAGAGGCCATTTTTAAAAAGGTATGGTAATAAATTCAATTTGGTGTTTAATCAAATGGATCTCCTAGATTTTTTTAGCAATTTGGTCAAAATGTTGGATGTGATTGAAATAAGAGATGTTAATTGTGCTTTGAAAAGTGTTTGTGTCATAATTGTTTGCTTGACATTAGAGGTTAAAAGAGATTTGTAGTGCTTCTAAAAGAAAAGCAAAATCACACACTACTAGAAAAACATCCTTTTACCACGCACAATGCGTGTCGTAAAATGCTCAGACGACGCGCAAATGCGTGTCAAAGGGGGCCTTGTCATAATGAGAGACGACACGCTTTTGCGCGTCGTCTATTTACGATGCGCATTTATGACATGCATTTACGACGCAAATTTATGACACGCAATGCGTATCAAGAGAGGCCCTGTTATAAAGGAAGACGACACTCATTTGCCTGTCGTAACTTTACAGCGCACGTATTTATGACATGCAATGCATATCAAGGAAGCCACTGTCATAAATGAAGATGACACACATTTTTACGTGCCATAAAGTTAAATGTTTTAAAAATGATATATTTTGATAGATTTAGTAATTTTCAAAATCAATAACACTTAAAAAATCTCATAATACAAAATAAAATACAATAAATAACAAAGATAATTCATTTTACTAATATGTCAAATACACATAATTATTCCAATAGTGAGTTAATGTAATAAAAGAAATGAACTCAAGAGAATCAGAATTTATATACAATTGCATTATCTAGCTTACTATATGCCAACAACTCTTTATGTGTTTGCTTTTTCTTAAGTCTTGTTTCCTCCAAAGCTTCTATCCATGCCAAAGTATGATATCTTAAGGTTCATGTCCAAAATGAAGTCAAACATTGCTAGCTTATATTCATCAATTCCTTGCCGTGAAGTCTTCGATAGATGCTTAACTACAATATCCAATCCTTCTAGCAGGCCCTAGAGATCATTATTGGCCATGTAGCAGGATCCACCTGCCAAAATAGTACACCAAATTAATCAGAAGCTGAGATGCTACCTATAGAACAATCCAAAAACACATTAATTCCATGGAGTTACTGTGAATCAGTAATTGCAGACACCAAAGTAATGAAAATAGACGCTTCTTGTCCACACAACACCTATAACAAATGTAGCTGAAATGGTACATCCAATGAACTAGAAAAGAGGTAATGTGATCCATACTTGTTTTCCTTGTCTGTAGCCAATGAGATAGATGATTTTTGGCCACACAACACACATTAATTCCATGGACTTACTGTGGTTCGATAATTCAACATTCTCATATATATATATATATATATATATATATATATACATACACACACACACACATACACTCCAATACTAACTAAAACTAACACACTTTATACCTCCCTGTATAAAAATGCTATTTTTGATGAATTTAACTTTTCAAATTCACACACATACATACATATAGCTAATATCATTTAGATTTTTTTTCTTTTCTTCATTGGTATCATTTAGATTTATAAAATGTATCTTGTTCTTTAGGAATTATGTCAAATCTCTAGGATATATGGTTCCAGTTGTAGTGTTTCACCAAGATTCCAAGAGTGTTAGCTACTAAATCTTTATGCATTGGATCAACTTTTCAAATTGCAAGAGGTGCATGAGGGGCAGTAAAACTCAGTTTATAATAAACAATTCAATAAAGATTATGTAATATAATAAAGCTTTTACTTTTATAAAGGTTATGGCATAAAAATACACAACATACCTTCCTTGAACTGAATTGAAGTCAGCACAAACTAACATTGGAATATATGCACTTGCAACTATCTTTTCCAATCCTTTTAACAGTGTGTGAACCTTCAATTTTCACAATTATATAATTTTTAAGTTTTTAAAAAAGAAGAAAAAGTGTATATATACACTCTTCGACAAAATCTACACTAAAATAAATGTGCGCATGTATGTTAATGTCAAAATAACTATGAGGGAAAAATGGTCATAATAATTTAGAACAATCCTGAAGAGTAATTTTTTCTGAGTGGAAAGTGAATCTTGATTATATATATATATATATATATATATATATATATATATATATATATATTCATATATACATATTATATATATATAATCGATATTGTATATATATATATATATATATATATATATATATATATATATATATAGACACACACACACACACACAGAACACAACACAACACAACATCAATGTATGTCTCTGTGTGTGTCATCAAAGTTCAAACCTAGATCTGGCATCCTAGGTAAGCTTTTCCTCACTACATATTACATAACAATATTTGTAAGCATCCATGTCACTAACAGTTGAGGAGGGAAAAATTAAATGTGCTTTGTACTTTATTTTTTACCTATAGCAGCAACCTACTTACGTACATACCTCTCTTTACCAATAATAACAATCTATTTGATTATTTTTTTTACTTATAATAACACTTATAAGTTATACCTACCATAATAGCAATGTACATTATTTTTTACCCAAAATGACAATGTTGCATTTTCTATATATATATATATATATATATATATATATATATATATATATATATACACGAGCATTTTAAGTTATCTACTACATAATACTACTATCTATACATAAAATATCAGTTTGTTGCTATCATGAGTGACATATTGCTATTTTTGGTAAATATATGTAAGGACGTTGCTATATTATTGTGATGGGTAAAAATACAGTGCAATGCCTATATTGGTAGAAAGAGTAAAGTATGTTGTTATTTCCTGCAATATGCCCTTAAAAAGAAGGGAAACAAGTATACCAGAAGTACTTGGAGGTCTATTTTTGGCCTTTGCAACACGTCAATTTTCATTTCCATCATCAGAAATGCTACTTCCACTTTCTGTTTCACTTGAACTCCCAGAGCTCCTAAAGCAAGTCCGCTTTTACAAGTTACAAATACAATATTATATGAAAAGATATATATATATATATATATATATATATATATATATATATATATATATCAAAAGAAACTATTTGGACCTTCCCTTTGAGCTTTTGCCAGGCCACCATCTCTTTTCTTTCCATTTGTTCTTAAGATGTTTGACTTCTTTCTTTGTTAACCTCTTCTTCCTCCTTTTACCACAAACAGATGACCTTGAAGAATCAGAATCAGCTTCTCATTCTGACTCTGAATCGGTATGGAAATCACTCTCCGAAGAATAAGAGTCGGAATTTGAATCAGATGGTGAGTACTTCCTTCGTTTCCTTAATTTCTCCCTGACAGTTGATCCACAATGTTTTTTTACTCACCCATCGGAACTGTCATCAGAAGAAGTATCTTTCGTCACATTTTTTTTATTTTTAGCTATATAAAAAATGGAACAATAAATTATATAATCAAATAAATGTTATTCATAGTTAATAAATAACAACAACAATACCTTTTACGAGTTCCACCACATTGTTCTTCTTATCTTCAATAACTTTGGCACAATCCACAATTTTTACCACACTAGAAGGTTTTCAATCACTTGTTCCTAACAGCTGAATCTTCTTAATTGTCTCTATTCCTTTTGTTACCTTACCAAAAACAACATGTTTCCTGCCATGTGATATAACTAGTGAACAATGCTACGGTTAATAAAAATATTATAAAATCAAATACTTTCCCTGCACCATCAAACAACAAATTGCTTTAGTATATTGTTCCCAATCAGGGGCAATAAGAGGAAATCAAATAAATTGATGTTTGTTTTTTAAATAATAAATTAAATTAGCCTTGATATGAATTGATACATTTAGGGGGAGTTTGTTATTTAATAATATTGATAATACAACAGTACTTACAATAATAATAATACAACAACAAGACAATTCTAGATTCACTGACATGAAATGCATTCTTCTCCTCAATAATTGCTCCATTTACAAACTCGGTGTTGTAAATTGTGATATTTGCTTATGCAACTACCATTTGGTCAATACCCATCCCACTCAGTGTTGTTGAGGACATTAACTAACAAATACACAATTAAATGGAGGTCATTAACGAAGAAATACACAAATAATTTCTAGATCTTATCACAGTAACACTACACACAAGTAACATTCCCATTAAAACATTTGCTGTAAGGAATAGACGGGATAACATGAAAAAGAAAAAATGGACTATGAGAAACCTAAATACATAGCTTCTGCCTCCTGAGTCTTTCATTTTCCTCTTCCAAACGTGAGATTTTGTACTCCAGCTCATGAGTGTAAGTCTGTTAAACAATAAAGCGTTTTCTTATCACATATTTATAAATGGTAAAATGAGAAAGAAGACAGGAGTTTAGTATCATACATGTTTTCTTGCTCGAGAGCATGCAATAGATTCCCTATTCTTAATCATTGTCTTTTTCCTCCTTTCCACAGTCTTCTCTATCACATCTCCAAAAGTAACTTGTTTCCTTCCAAACTTAGATACACTCCCCATGTAAGGGCTAGGAGACACTTTCATATGTGTCTCTAGATAACCAGTGTCTATTACATTCAGAGGGAGGGGTTGTGGTACTTGATAATGGTCTGAAATAACAACATGTTGATGTGGAATCTGAGGGATTTGGTAGTTCATCCACTATACTTCTGGTGGATCAAGATTCTGCTCATGGGTTTTCTTACCAAGAGAAGAAGATTCGGAGACGATCCTTTCCTTGACTAAAAAGTCCTCGAGTGTCATCTCACCAAGAGTAGCTTGTCTCTTACAACTACTAGTATTATTAATGTTACTCTCACTGCAATTCGTCTTCTTTTTCTTTTGGTCTTGTTGCATATCTTGCAAGACCTCATCGACTATATTCTTGGTTAAATCCTTGGTGAATGTAAGGCTTAACTGTCTAGGCAAAGATGAAGTAGAAGCAAGTTGGATGACTTCGGAGTAATCAGAGGAAGAGCCATTGTTGATTCGTTGATTAGCTTCGGTACTCCAAACATTCTTCAGAAACTCATCAAGGTTCATACTATTGAAAGGTTTCCTTAAATCACCTAATTGCTGTTAAGCGTCATCTAAAGTTACGTTATGTAGAGATCCTTGCGTTGACAATCCATCAAACATAGGTTTTTGTGTTCCCGCTTTCGATCCCATTGTTTAAGTCCCCATACACAGATCGCCTGACTATCTTATTAATCTCACAAATCAAACTCCAAATACCAATAATCAAAGTAGCAATTAGTAAACGCCTTCTTGTAATTAATTAAAAAAACCCTATATGAACTTCTAATCTAAAATGTTACGGAAAACACCCTTAATTCAGACGAATCGGAAACGGAATACTAATCAGATTTGCATCATGTCGAGTACCAATCTTTAGATTAACAGAAATTAGGGAAAATGAGAAAATCGGCGTTATTTTGAAACAACATTACAGGAGAAGAAGAAGGAGGAGAGTATCATGGTAGGGTTTTAGGGTTTCTTTTGATCGATCATTTACACACAACGTGTCATACCCTGAAACCGATGGCGGAAACGTTCCCGGGTGGAGGACGTCATGTGTAGTATCACAACCAAGGTACATAGTAAGCATAGTAAACACAAAACATTACATTACATATGATTAATTACATTTGTTTGAAAGTAAAGTAATACATGTTTATCTATACAATAGATTCAACAAAAGTAAAGACGTGTCTTCTAAAACGCTCCGTCTTCTTCGAAAGATCGTGGGTACCTGTCTAATGTGGAACTGAGAATACAAGCGGTTTGAAAATCAGCATAAAGCTGGTGAGTTCAAAAGCTGTTTGTTTATGCAAAATATCATGTTTGCTTTGGTTGTTCTGAAAATTTGTTATCCAAGAAAATCCCAAATTTTCTTATAGAGACATTTTAGTTAAAGTTCTGAATTTACATTCAATAAAACAGTAGATAGTTTAATACTTAAAACTATATATTGAAAGATCCCTGTGAAATACCATCCAGGACAACAGTAGGTAGATTTAATATATAAAGCTATAGGTTTAGAACCACTGGGAATATCATCCAGTAAAACTATAGATCAAGAGAAGATATAATTTCCGCGAATAAACTTATATTTTGATATTAATACGTATTGTGAGTCGGGTAACCATGCTAATATGACAACGAGACCTCCTTGACGTTCTTCAGGCGTCGGACGATATCCAAAATTTGTCACCCCAGGCGTGCCCGCCTAACTATAGCTAGTAGTTTAGGTGTGGTATTGTCAGTCCCGAATAGATCTATTCACAAATTCCACACTCTCCCTCCAGGATACTCTGGTTACACTTCTGGGAAGGATTTACTGATGAACCAAAGGGTTTAATGAAGATACATCTCACAAGCTAGTATAAAATTATTCACGATATACTCGGTGGTTGTCAAACATCATACAGTAAAACAGTTTAATACAATGAAATTATCTGGCATGATATTCTAAATTAAACAGAGATAAACTGAATCAGACATAGTTTATCTATTAACTTTGCATGTAATTTGTGTCCGTAAACAAGAACTGAAGATCCCAAATTATTTCCATAATAATTTGATTAGTTTAATTATTTCCTTGATCGAAGTTGAAATCAATGTCATTTGATTCGATAAAACATCCCTCGTGCTCCACATAATACATAAGGTTTAAAGATATGTAAAGGTTTGCAAGATATTTAAAGAATTTCATAAGTATCAAGTTTCGAAAACATTTATCTTTTTTGCTTGTATTCACCCCCTGAAAATATTCAAAAACACAGAAAAGGCATAGGGGTATGAACTTACCGTTTAACGTAGGTTTCAAGTGTCAACGAACGCCTTGAACGCAAGTGGTCCCTATTATCATGTGATGACACGTACGCGAGTTAGAACTAACGTATTTCATGACTAACATGATGGGAAGTCACCCTTAGGGCTTGAAATCACCATGATTGTGTGACAACCCGAAATTTCCATTCTGTATGAACTTTATAAGTCAATAGAAGTTATAACAGTCACAGTAAATTTTCAGACTTTTCTGTATAAGTTTAAGTATTTCGGGATTTAACACTTAAGGAGATATCAGGAGAGTGGATGCACTAGGGTTTTGTGCAACACTGTTATTCCAACACTGTATTATATTAGAGATCATTTCGAGAATAAATATATTTTCTGCCAAAAATCCCAGGACTATAAATATGATTCTTAGCCAAATTATTTCATTTGTTACATTTCCAACTAGAGAAAAGCCATTTTCTCTCTCACGGATCTTCGAGTTTTCTTCCCAAAATGTGAGTACCCTTCTCTAGTTACATTATATGGCTTATAACATGTTTAATAACCTCGATTACATGGCAAAACTGCAAGATTCGGGAGTTTACCGCCCAAGAACGTTCTTGGAGAGTAAACTCCAATATGTGGCTTATATGATGCCTAGTCCCTTCCACATGTTAAATAATGACATTAGGCTTGTATGTAAGTGTATTAAAGACAAGAAAACAACCACAGAAACACAAAAGCATGAGAGTTCACGGCCCAAGCTGATCTTGGACCGTGAACTCCAAAAACAAGGACCAAAAGGTGTTTTTAACAATCCTAAGGCTTTGGACATTTACATAGAATTGTTTCCACTTAAAATCAAGGACTTAAACACATCCAAGAACCCCACTTTTGAGAGTTTACGGCCCTATGATTGTTCTTGGGCCGTGAACATCAAATTAAGGCACCAAAGTGTGCCTAAGGCCTTCGTTTGCTTAGGGTAAAAGTCTAGAACCTATCCTACATGTGTATGAGACTTGAAAACATCAAAAACACCCCTACATAAGAGTTTACAGTAGTAAACTCAAAGGGATTTGGTCTTTGGGCCATAAACTCCTGAAAGGAGTGTTTCTATGCCCTAAACCCTTGCAAGAATTCATCCACCAAGTTGGAATACTTTTACGGATCATTTAGAACTTCGAAACACCAAATGTCACAAGGCTTGAGAGTTCACAGCTGTAAACTCATGAGTTTACAACCGTGAACTCCTTGTGTGATGGCCATGGAAGAGTAAACTCAAGTATAGGGTCCTTTGGAACCCTAAACCCAAGTGCCTTGTCCTACTATAGCTTAGATGCAATCCTTAGGGCTTATAACACTTATATAAAGTGTTTATTATGTTCTAGGATGTCTTATCATCATCAACTAGTAGTTTAAGACTAATTGGATACATAAATTTGGTATTATATGTTAACTAGGGTTTTAAAGTGTGTTCAAGACTTCATTAGTCACCTAGCGATCCTACATCTTCAGTTCATCCAAACCACTCACTATAGGTGAGTTCATACCCCTTAACCAATGATTTAAATTTTTTAAAATTTTTATGGGCGGGAGGCAAGTCAAATACTTATAGTTATTACATCAATCACAAGTGATTAATAACTACAAAACCAATGATTTATTACCGTTCAAACTGTTTATCAAACCGTATTGTTTCAAACTGTTTTACAAACTCTTTTACTTATCAAATACTTTCATTCAAAATCTTTAATACTTATTATCAATTGCATGTCTATGTATGTATACTTATATAATAACTGTTTAAAAGGCATAGGAAGGCCTGCCCGCCTTATTTCCTTTTCGCGCTTGAGATGTGGTCTGGTGGGATATCGGGTATCCGTCCGAAGGTCTTTTAAATATTAATTATATATCATGTATACATACGTAGTCATAAAGGTCCTTCCATTTCATTCAGTACCCTTGGGTAGCAAGGGTATACTTCCAGGTTCATACGTACCAGTTACATCATTAGTAAGTTACCATAGGGGTAGCATAGGAGAATACTAATACTATAACTAGAACAAAGAAACATACAATGAGTTAGTTCATTCATGAGTCAGTTCGAGTAGTACACACAGTACATTACTATACATGCTAGATAGAGAGAACGTACATTACAGCTAGCACACGTAGAAGACTTTAGTACACACAGGCTAGACAGAGAAACATTACACTTTCAGTTAGCACATTTATTACATATACGTTTATGCAGTTATGTGAACCATTAAGCGGGTCATGGCACTTCCTGCCACGACCGTTCTTGTATCCCGAATCTCCTCAATTGGAGAGTGTATGAGTTTGCGTATAGACCTATATTGGATTGACTATCCTACACCTTGCTGCTCGCTACAGTGGGACTTGCGAATCTATGGGTGCCAAATGTCATTTCTTACGGTGTCTTACATCGTCGTTTTACTAGAGTCGGTAGCAGGATACAAGTCGAGCACATGTTATTTTAAAACACCTTTTGTATTAAGGTAGTTAGTACCATGGTAGTCACTTATTACAAATACTACGATACGACAATATTTTCCCATAACATTCACTTCGCGAATATTCACACGATGCACGGTAATGTAGTAACTATATTTTTGGTTAATGATAGTCAGATTTGGGAAACACACACTCTAACAAGAGACATATACATGAACACGAGATGCCTTGGTAGAAGGCTACAGTTAGTAGAAAACGTAGGGTTTTCTAGGAAATTTCAAACATTATACAAATTTTTTTACAGAAACAACATTCAAATGTTTTCATACAAACTCAGACATTAATATACTTATGATCTCACTAGCATTAAGCTGATACTCGCTTTCAAAATAACTTGTATTTTCAGGTCACCACTAGACAGGTACAGGTGCCAGGCTTTTGAGTAGATGGAGTTCGTTCAAGACTCATCTTTTATTTTGATATGTATATTTTTGGTGTCTATAACTTTGACAAAACACACATGTATGAAATTATAATATTAATGTAATGGATGATGTTGTTGCTTGCTTACTACTATTCATTTTTGTGATACTGTACATGACGTCCTCCGCCCCAGAATGTTTTCGCCATTCATGGTTTTGAGGTGTGACAGATTGAGTGTCTCATGTTCCAACTTAGTGATCTATGCAAGTTTAGGGCAAACAATGGGCATTAGAGTGGGTGTATGGTTTTGCAAATGAGTGTGCGGTTGGGGACTGCAACTAGGCTTGTGTGTGAGGCTACACAGA